GCCTTCTTCCCTTACTTCTTTCTTGCTCCTTTCTTTTCATTCCTTTCTCTCTGTCCCTTTCTTCCCTTCCTTCAAATGCTCAGCCAGAAGATACGGCTACCATTTCTCCGGTTCTCTTATGTTTTCGTTCAGTCACTTGAGGTTCAGGCGCTACTTCAGTTTGGGAGAGCAAAGCGATTAAGTCCGCTTTTCTGCATGAAGAGACGGGATCGCGGGAACGCTGACCGTCTACCTTATTATGAAGGCTGAGCCTGGGAAAACGAAGGGATCGAGGCTGTATTGAGGCTTGGTGCGGCCCTTTCGGCTACCGTAACGCCGTAAAGCTAAAAAAATATTCACAGTGTTTTGAATGCCTACATAAAAAGGTCGATGTATTTTACCACTCTTCTAGCTTGGCTGGCTGGCTTTGATTTTTTTAGTGTTTTTTTGCTGATTAACGTTGCGGTACCTCTTCTATGATAATTTGTAAAATTTCAGCCCTATAGGTAGTACGCGATAGACAGGCTTTGAACAAGATTCAATCTCTCTTTTCAGGGACGTCTTCCAACTGAGGGCCTTTTCGATGCTAGAATGTTGGAAGAATATATTCTGTTGTGCTGTCAAGTGAGTGTCCATTGCCAGTATGCAAGTTTTTTTTTCGAAATTGCGTCTGTACCCCTTCCACTTGCAGGATGAAGCCGGTGGTTTCCGTGATAAGCCCGACAAGTCACGAGATCTCTACCACACCTGTTATGTTCTCAGCGGTCTAGCAGTTGCACAGGCTTACTCGTCCACTCGCGAACCTGACGGAGTGCTCGGTGGAGCCCAGAATGTTGTGGTACGTGTCCATACTGTTCAGACTTTCTTCTTTATCTCATTTTCTTCTCTTTGAGGGATACTGTACAGCGTGTAACTACTGTGATAGCCGAGGTGGGGGAAGTCGGCCCGAGGCTAGAGCATGTTTGCTTTCTGTTCATCTGCGTCCTCCTCATTTCAAGGTGTTCCTTGGTGACCCTTCCTACTGCCTTCGTAGCCTTAGGGAGCGCAGAGAGGGTCAGGCCTAGTCCCACTCCACTCCCTTCCAACTAGTATAGAATCCTTATTTGTTTTTCGTGGTCTCTTTTGTCAACATAGCTAGTATCTGCGATTGTTCCTTTCCACTTTACAGAGAATATGAGAAAAAACCCTTACTACGTTTATTTTGCTGGGTTTGTTTGTTCGGAATTTCGGTTTTACCAGGAGACAGCTGAAGAAGATGGGAGATTTCGGAAGGGTAAGGCGTGGGAGAAGATGTACAGAACACACATGACCTATGCCAAGCTCCGCCCATAGTAGGCGGGGCATGCGCTGAAAGTGAGGTGTTGCAAAAAACATTCATAGCAGGGTTCCACAGCAGCCCAGAGCTGACGAGAAAGTGGATTAAACTCAGTAAGGAATTGACAGACTAAACGGGGAAGGCGCACGTAAACAGGGGAGAGACGTAAATGAGATGAGCGGTGCTCCCACAGAATTTGATAACCCACTTCTTGAAAAAAGTTTCGAATTCAGAAGAAGAAAGAGCAATCATCTAGTGGAGAAATTGAGTATGCTGAGCCCCCCCACCGGCAGTATGCCTCTGGTATGTTGAGACCCGCCCACCGGCGGGGATTGCACACCGCAGTCAGCCAGGGAGTTGACAGTATGTTAATAGCTTCCATCGGTTGTTGACAAATTCGAACTCTTTTCAGGTGCCCATCAACCCCGTGTTCAATCTCACTACTTTAAGCGAACAGTTTGCTGTAAGTTTCTTCGGAAGAGGTCCTCGCTGAAATTGCTTTCCTTCAAGTCACTATTGTCATCCGGTTTTTGCTAATTCTTTCCCGATGAACTGCGTTTTTTGATACTTTTTATGTTTATTCAATTGTTGCGCTAGCCAACTTTATCAGTTATGCATGTCACCGCCTTCTTATTCATTTTTGATATCATTATGTGGTCGCTTAGCTCACTATGTGGGCGCTGCAATAAAACTTTAATGTTCTGTGTAATGTACTCGAGTAAATTGTATCCAGCACTTCTATATTGAACAAGTTTTTTTTGGCAGTTTAGCCAGTGTTTGGGCAAGTTTATCAGTTATCTTGATCTATCACAGCGTTTTGTAAATTTATTCCAATCGTGTTTAGTTTTAAAATGGCAGAGGGTGTAAAGAAGATGAAGAAAAAGAAGAACAAGTTCAGAAAAGCAAGTCACTTTTTGATTCTCTGTTTGTAGAAATTTTTAGATTATTGAAGGTTCTTTTTCAAGAACTTCGATCAAACAAACGTAAAGGAGCCGAAGTCAAACGAACTCCCGGTGGCGCGAGATTCAGGGAGTAGTGGCAAGAAACACAAGGCGAATGGTTTGAAACAACCTTTAGTGAAGCATCACGAAGGCCAGAAGTGGTACAGCTATCAGGTTAGTCCCTCTACTTTTTGATAGTTCGTTTTTGTGACTGCACAATTTTTGAGCTTTTAAAGGCATAAGGCACAATAATTTGGTAATCGGTCTGAAACGGTACTAGGGGTGCTGTATAGTGGAAAAACATCTATAATCTTATCGTTCTTCAGGATCATAATTGCGATTTCGACGAGTTTCACGCCGGTTGGCAAGGTGCGTGCCAATAACCGCTACGTGTTGCTACGACTGCATGCATGTACTATTATACTCATGCAGCACCGCATTTGCTTCATATCAGTCCCTTCGCTTCACACTATTCATCGCATATGAAGCGATGTGAGCATCAGCAGTATTTGTGGGCGGGCGGGTGCGGATCGAAGCTTGTGGGGGACCACTTTTCAGCGCTCTTATAGAACAAGGGAAGTAGCGAAAATGCGAAATGCCCCTCCCCAAACTACGATCGATATGTCCTAAATAAGATCTTTCCAATTTTGAGCATTGTGGGAGCTGCGACGAAAAGGGACAGTGCCCACTAGCGCGAGAGTACTGAGCGTAACGTTCCATGCACGTGAGCATAGACCTTATAGATTTGAGTGATAAGCTTGAGACCCGTCTCCTGCTCACATTCAGGTTTAGAATTAACGTGCTTCCCTGCTCGATGCGAATTTAGATTACGTGCTTATAATTTGGGATTGTACTCCCTTCAGATGTGAAATATGCCTTCAAGTAAACTAGGTCGAATTTCTCAGTTGTGTTCGTTCAACTTTGAATACCGCAGATTCACTGAAACAATAACTTTCAGATCAATGAAATAATCGATGATCCCATCAAGGATACTCTTGGAACTGCTGATCTGTTAGCTTTGGAGGAAGAAGCGGACGAATTCCTCAAAGCTGATATTGATCTTTATAACCAACGTAAGATTTTTTGATTATTTAAGTCAACTTCTTCTCTCATTATTGTGCTGTCCCAGTCCCCCTTGCTATTCTTTACATTCCTTGATTGCCTTTTGATGCAAATATTCATTTAAGATGTGCGGACGCAAGGAGGTTCTGAAGCTTCTTGGTTGCTCTCTGTCATTAAAAAGGGTACTGCTAGCGATCGTATGACTGCAA